ATTCATTTTAATTTACTACATTTGTATACTTGTCTCCATCGTTTATGAAATGTGTGTAACATCTGTAACTAAGTTAGCACTTAGTAAGGTACATGACGGTAATATTAAGCTCTCACCTTAAGCTTTGCAACCCTATAGAACCAAAACTATTATGGGAGAAGGACAGATACAAAAACAAAAAGTCGTGTATTATAACTAATATATTAATTAAAAAAAGCAAATAAGCTTCGGCAATAATTAGAAACACTTCGAAAATCAACTTAATAAAAACTAACTACATTACGCCATACTAAAATCGACTATAATATATTATTTACTATAACATCAAATGATAAAATGGCGTCGATAAAGCAACGTCCTTTTGACTCTTTATAATTTGATTGACTGATCAAGACTATCGTACCATAGAGCCTTCTATGCAAACAAGGCTGTAGTTTTTGAGTTATAAGAAAGTGACCATATTAACCGAATGACCATATTACCCTCATGCACTATATTTGAAATTTGTTGTAAAAATATTATACTTTTGTTAGTGTATATCTTGTTGGTGTCAAATAAATAAATAACGGATTAGATATTTTTGGGACTGCTGCTAAGCATTTTTACCCAACGTTGGATGATTTTTCGGCATTAATATATTATTATAAGATGATGGTACTTATTCGAACGGACTGTCAGACAAAATGAAGCCTTGCTACGGATCGTTCTTATCTTCATAATTGAGAAAACGTTAGATGCTGGACACTCGTGGCTCAGCGCCACGCTTAGAAGGTAGATTAGTAATTGTAGTACCAGACGTCTGGTATCTTTTTTTATTAAAAATACTAGCAATCAAGCAAGTTTTATAAAGAGCCACGCTGCAGCTATATTATGGCTGTAGCACAAATGGGTCAGCTCGACTTGGGAAGGACCATGCTCTCACAAAATACCAGCGTAAAATAGCAGCGTAATACTGTTGTGTTTCATATGGTGAGTGTAGAGATCCGAAGACCCTTTTATTGCTGCAAACGAGGCATTCCATCTTAGTCCTCAGGAGTGACAAAGCGTCTGCGTTTTGATTCTTAATCGAGAATAAATGTAGATGTAATAGCGTTATCTACTTCATTCTAGAAGTAAAGTAATTTTTATCGAACAAAAATTGCTTCTTAAGGTGGTACATAATATAGACGCTAGAGGTTTTAAACACGACTCGGCAAGATATGAAATCGTGGATTGTTATTAATGCATTGGATATGATATTTTATTTAATATAGTTTTTATTTAAGTTTCGTAACAAATTTGTTTTTCTTTAACTGTTTATATTAAAAGTTATACTAAACATCTTTAAAGTACCGCACAAACAGGAGACCCTAGACTAACTAGGATACACTGTATTGTATTCTATCTCATTCTCTCGCGGGCTAAATCGTATTAATGTATATTTTTGTCTCGTTTTAGTGTCGCTTTTTTGTTTTCAAATCACAACTAAAGAAGTTTCCACTTCAAACAAGAACACACTTTCAATCAAAGGCATGACTTACCGTCGACGTTTTCTTCAATGGGCTCGAACTCGCCGTCCTCCCAGCCGCCGAGCGGTACCGCAGCCACTTACTATCAGGTGAACTGTGTGCTCGTTTTTCACCCTTATTCTATAAAAAAATCACCTGGTAAGCTTATAATTCTTGTTAGGAGTCGTTAACGACAGTAATCGAATGGCGGATTCGAAACCACGACGTTTTGAATTTGCGGTCCACACTCTACCATTGGGCTACTGTCGTTTTTAAAAAAATACTTAGATGGTGCTCTTCACCGGTTTGGATATTTTACGTCTGACGATAATAAGATGGCTATAAGCACAGTATATATATATATATATATATATATATATATATATATATATATATATAAATTTATTTTATATACTGTGGTTATAACGATATCTATCGGAAGACATGAAATCTTTTTGAGGTTTCCTTGAATGGCCTCTAACGGCTCCGGAATGGGACAGTAGGTTCTTTTACGGTGCTACCAAATTAAATTGTGAACCACAATAATTCTAGATGTCGCTAGTTTGAATTGAGGTGAAGTATTTAGTTATACAATGTCATTTATATAAGAAATTAGTTTTATAATTAAGGTTAATCAGCTTCTAGCGTATTACGTACATCAAAACAAGAATCAATGCTTCAGTGATTCGCTTTTTAATATTTTGTACATTTTTAAGTTTGGTTTATGTAATATTATAGTTAGAAACATTAACCCACACATTTTCCTAAAAAATTAACTTCATCCCTATAAAATATGTCAAATATTACACCTAATTCCAAAGTGATGCTGCATCATTAATAACACATTTATACAGTGACTGCGTTGACGGCTCCATAGCGCATTGGCTTAGCATTGAGTTGCTATGCTAAGGGCCGCGGGCTCGAATCCCATACGAAACAAGAATTTGTGTAGCCTAAATATAATTGTTCCCAGGTCTGGATGTTTAGCCGTGTGCAATTTACGTATGTACGTCTTCAAAATACAGGAGAATATCCCAGCGTTTTCAGAAAAATGCATTTATTTATCATGACGTTTTCGTGCAGGTTTTTGATTCAGCAGGTTTCGCATTGCAAATCGATTGATCAATTTGTCGATTACTCATAAATGAGTAATAAACATCAATTGTAAGTTTAGAAGGTTTACGGAACAACTGTGTTCCGGAGTGCCGATGCTGCGATAAGCAATTAATGCAACCTTACAGTATAGTCTAGGAGCCTGCATTTTATTTTTCAGTGTACAACTTTTTTTAATTGCAACTTTTTAAAGCGTACTTTTTCAGTAGTATTTGTTCAGCAGTGGACTTTAATAGGCTGTCAGCCTATTGAAGTCCACTGCTGAACATAGGCTTCCCTAATAGATTGTCTCATATAGGGGATATTTGTCAGAGCTGCCACGCTTTGCATACGGGTATGCCACCGCAGTTTTTTGGTTTTATAGGTGTAAGACCCCAATCCGCTTGTCAACCGCTGCACCCATCTCCTGGATAGTTTCCCTCTGTCGCCTCTTACGACACCCATGGGATGATATGGGATGGTGGTTATCCTTACACCGCCACCACGATACTTATAAATGCAAACTTGGTCCATTTGACCCGGATCGCCCTATCAGGGCTCATGTTTGGGTCTAATATATCCAACATAAGAACTATTTGTGTAACCACATGAACGCAATAAAATGTTTGAGTTTGAATTTAGTATTGATATTGAAATCATATTTTTTGAAGGATCTACATCAAACGATTGACAGGACCTATCAATATATATCCTAAATAAAAAATATAAATTTCTTTGCAACTTTCCGCTAAACATATAAAATGATGTGTCTTACCTGGATCGAAGCGCACCTCCCGCCCTCCCTCAATTGCATACACTAACTCCGTCACCACTACTCTCAACACCACTATTCCAGGCAAGACACACCATCGACGATAATACGACACGTGTTTCGCCTCTACACGAGGCATCATCAGGTAATATAGACTCTACAGCGGCTGACCGCTAAGTGAGCGGCGAGTCGAAACAGTTGCTATTTATACACACTGACACAATCGCTCCCTACCAAAGTAGCGAGTGACCGCGTCGTGCGATAACAAACCGGCCAACAGTTATTATTATTGTTGTGATTATTTTTAAATACTATTATTATTATTCTTTTGAGTGACCGCGCCGTGCGATAACAAATCTGCTACTAATTATTATTATTGTTATGATTAATATTTTAAATACTATTATTATTATTGTTTTATTGATATTATTATAATTATTTATTATTATTAATCTTAAAATTATTATTAAAGATTGGCCTTAAAGATGTTTAACAAAGGTGAATTAGAAACATGAACAAAGGTGAATTAGAAACAACAATGTTTCTAATTCACCTTTGTTGTATGTTTCAGTTCCCACTGTTGCTTCTAACGACACCGACGTGAGGTTGATGTAAAGGATATTCTTACTCCGCTACTATACGACTATGTTTTCATTTCTTATATTTACACGAAATTAAAAGAAATTTCGTTTACAGTAGCCGGTCTCAACTTAGAATAACCACTTGCAAAGGACGAGTTAAAATGCACGAGTATATGTGCAATCCCAGGTGCACTCTCTATTCCCTCGCTCTCATAGTCAGATAGGATTGCAATCTATCACGACTGGAGGAAGATCACGTGCAGGATCAACGTGGTGAGATATCGTGATCTTCCTGACTTCGGACTGCTACACAGAATTGCTTGACAGAAAACTTTATAAGTGATTTTGACCCGACCTAGGATTTGAACTCAGAACCTTATAATTAGCAACTGCTAATCATAGAATTAAAGTAATTTTACAGGTTTCAAAATTAGTTAAAACACAATAAAATTTGCAAAATAAGTTTTATTCAATATCTCTGATGCTTAATCTTTCATTTTATTAAAAATCCTTAACAAATTAATCTTTTCAATGTGGATTTCAAGACCAGTCCATTTGGCTCGAAGGAACATTATTTGACAAAGCTGTTAAAAGTCTGAATAGAATAGAAATATATAGGGTGAGGCCCCAGCACGTAATCGTCAGTGATCCCATTTGAAGTATTGTACTTGTTGCGATCGGCTGTTTGTGCAGACCAGTGTACCTCGTTAAAAACCGGTCCGCGCGTCCAAGTGTATAAAAACAGAATACGCATGTCTGTTAACACTCTGTAAATTTGCAAAGTAATTAATTCGGATCACGCAGTGCGATTCCAGTAAACATACTTTTCACGGCGTGTACTCATGTACAGCTCCCGAACTATACAGCTGAGAGAATATTTCAACTATTTAACGTCTGTCATAGAGTACACACGTGTAGTCGCGGACGCGCGCGCTTTGTGAACGCGTGAAATAAATATTTTTTAAAGTTAGATTATGAATCGAAACTTAAAGTTTTCGAGTGGGGACAGAAATAAAACAAAACACTTCGCGCATTTTATTTTTATGTGCGCAAAGTGAACAGTTTATAATGTTATTTTTTGTGTTTATAATTTTGGCGGGATACGCTGTCAGATGCGACAATGCGAGGTATTGGTTTTTTTTAATTATTAATTTTAAATTTAACGTAGACAATGGTCGTAATGAGCACGGAAATTGTTTGTAATCTGATTAACGTTATGCCTTGCAAAAAATGTCTTTGCTGTGTTTGTAAACAAAGATTATGCTGAATCGACGCATCATCAATGAAAAACTGATATTGTTCGTGCAGTTTTATAATTTTAAAATAAATAAATATGATATTACCTTGACATAATACGTATGTTGCTATAGTGACAGTTTTCTTTTTTTATTACGCATAAGTATGTTTTCTAGTATACGTGCAAAAAAATAATAAATTATTTTAGTTTATAGTGAAATAAGTTACCTAGAGCGTAGATATTAGCGTAGATATTAAATAAAAATATAATCATCAAAAAAAATTCATAAGTTGATTTTTGATCTTTTGTGTTGTTTAATAATATTGAAATTTCTGCTAAGTGCTTGCAAAGCATATAAAGTAGGTTTCCTTGGTTTCATTATTTTATTTGCCAAATATTGTCACTATGCCCTTTGTTGTAGCCCATTTAGTGTTTGTCCACTATTTTGTGAAACCACTACGCTAAAATCCACCCAGTTATTTAAGATTTATTCATATTTTTAATCACACAATCAATTTTAAAAAATGATTAGAGGATGGGAAGAGGTTCTTTATGTAACCTCATATTTTTTTTAATTTCTCCCTTTGATGATAAACACTTGATAGTCCTAGTGATTAAATTTACCATAGATAAAAAACTTTATTAAAAAACTTTTTTTAAAAAGAGCCTAATTCTGCCATTTGTAAAATACGATTTTCGTGGTAACTTAAATTAACATAACATAAACATAAACACTCACGCCTGTCACCCAGAGGGGTAGGCAGTGACTGCAGACTTCCATTTAGCACGATCCTGACATACCTCTCTCGCCTCTTCCACATCCATATACCTACGCATACATGCTCGTCGGTTAAGGGTACTCTTAATTTGGCCCATTTTTAGTATATCGCCAATTTGGTCGACAAACTTCCGCCTAGAACGTCCCTTTCCGACTCTTCCATTCACTTCTGCAACATATATTTGCTTTGTCAGTCTTTCCGCATTCATTCTTTTTACATGACCAAGCCACCGAAGCATTACTTTCTTAATTCTGGTCACTGCATCATCTTGTAAACCACACTCTTCTTTTATCACACAGTTTCTCACCCTGTCACTCAGATTCAGCCCTAACACACTCCTTAGCGCCCGCATTTCTACTGAATTTATTCTACTCTCGTGCTTCTTCTGCCACACCCAACTTTCACTACCATATGTTAAAGTAGAGACTAATACAGCATTGTAATTCACAATACGTGCCTTTTTTGACACATTCTGACTTTTCACAATAGAGTAAATTAGTATCCTCCAAACCGAATTTTGCCATCTGCACAGGACAAGTAATCAAATGCACGAATGTGTGAAAGCACAGGCGCTTTTTTTGCGCCCAGATTGCAAAAGTAAAGGGCTACCCTCCGGGAAGCGGGGGAGGGAGGTGATGATTGTTCTAAGCATGCAACGCATTGCTTATGTGGGACTTACTATATACCTAGAGTGCCTACCCTCTAAAAACCACCTAGGACTGGCTTTGGCCTGGAAAGGTCTTTCAGTCGTATTGGAAGCAACTCCCCTTGGGGAAAGGGGGGCGCAGATGCACTCTCTTTTTACTCTTATAGTCCTATGGGACGGTATTCCAACACGACCGAGATCGATCAGTCGCAGCACCAACGGCTTCACGTGCTTTCTGTGCTTTCGAGGCTGCTGCTAAAAATTTATTGATAGAGAAACCCTATAACTGATTTTGACCCTATTCGAACACGAGACCATATGTTCAGTAGGCCTACCCTACCTAGAAGATCTTACCTTGCTTGCAATCGTCCTTCCCAATACAATGCGGGTATCTTCAAAAGGAAAGTGAATGAACTTTAACTAACCGAATCCTTTTTGCAACGTACATTTTTAATCGTCTTTTTTTTTAGTATACTTAACAATTTTTTTGTCCCGGATTCGAATCACGGGTAGGGCCAAAATCAGTTATTCAGTTTTTCTGTCAAGAAATCCTCAGTAGCAGCCCGGAATCTGACACATCAGGAATTTGACAGTGTTTAATTCTTCTCCGGTCGTGAATGATTTTCTTTCCATCAGACTATGAGAGTAAGGGGAAAAAAGAGCGCACCTGTGCTTGCGCATACACTCGGGCACTATAATCTTGTCCTGCGCCGATGGTTGGTCTCTGTTGAGACAGGTCGCCGTGACGGCAATTCGGTCTAGATGACATTATTATTACGTTTACATCAGAAAACATACTTCCGTTACCGATGACTGTGCGATTTACTAGAAATTTTTTTCTTCGCACGACTTCTTTGTGGAATCGTTTACCACTTTTTGGACCGATTCGAATTAGAAATCTTCAAGAAATGAGTTTACTCCTTTATAAAAGGCCGGAAATACATCTGAAATTCCTCTCGCGTTGCCATTGTTCATGGGTGGCGGTCTACACTCCTATAATCAGGTGCGCCGCATCACCGCATGCTCGTTTGCCCTCAATCCTATAAAAAGATTATTTAAAAAAAAAAACATAACCTTTACACTAGGTTTTCCTCCTGCATCATGGGAGTATGCTACGGCTTTTACGACACAGAATCAGGAAATATGCAGGACCTATCTATCAAAAAGTTTAAAATGTTTATTTAGCAAAAATTATTTAGCACATATTGCAGTATTAAAGAGTACATGATTGACGGTCACGTTTGAGAATGAGTTAATTACTTTCATGCTGTTTCTAAATATTTTCATACATTTTTTAAATATAATATTGTTTCAAAAAATCCCGCTGGGTTTCTTGCTGGTTCTCAATACAGAGGGTTTTTTCCGAACCTAAAGCTTAAATGATTTTTCAATAAGTATTCTCATAATCTTTATTAAATTAAAATTTTTAAAAACCGTTTCCAGTATCTTTCCCTTACCCATAATCGGTTCCTTCGATCCTCCCTCCATCTTTCTCTCTTTACACCGTTGCACTCTTCTTTCTTTTCTAAGAAATACTTTACCGTAACTGCTGTTCGATTGTGGAACTCTTTACCTCTCCAAAAGTCCTCTTTCCTCTTTCAAAAGTCTTATTAAATCGTATTACTTAGAACGCTATTAGATAAATTACTTTTCCTTTGTCGTACTCTTTGCATTTAATCTATTATATAATATTTTATATATAATTTTCACTTATCTTTATTTGTATGTATTTTTATATATTTTTTATTATTATTTTGTACGCCCCCCTCTATTTTAACTTTTGTTTGTATCAATTCTCTACGCAAAGGTTGTCTGGAAGAAATCACTTTCAGAGTGATAAGAGCGCCTATTGTACATATTCTTATTAAAATTTAACTGTACTTGATGTGTTGTATTTTGGTGTACAATAAAGAGTAAATAAATAAATAAATTAATTAAAATTACTTTATTCTACATACATTAACATTGGTTAATCGACTCTACCAAAAAATTTATGACAGATATTACCTTTTGTACATATTTTCTGTTAATAAAATATTTTTCATTTCATGTCAAAGGGTGAACTAGTTGATAGCGTCAATGATGTGGTTAAATAACAATTATTGTAATGATATGACCACTTATATTGCAATAAGTGCTATCGTTGGAATTCAAGTTCGGGTTTTAGATGACATTAATAGGCACGACGATTCTACATCGACTTTATTTGTCCATTTTTTACAAAGATTTCAAAAGGAAGGATAGGCCCGGCCCATCTAAATATTTCACTCATAACTTTTTCATACAAGAAAAAGTAGCGTATCTGTCATAATACAAACGTCATATCAAAACACGGCGTAACCAGGGTCGGATTTTGTAGTATAATTATTCTAATTGTACCATTATTTCATAGTTTGTACCTAGTACATAGTATTGTAATAATACTAAGCGAAAATACCATAATTTTACCTAAAGGTCGACTTGTATTATTATTGGGTCCTTTTACATTTAAATATTTTTTTATTAACCTTACGATATCGATAATCTCTGTATTGTACATGAGTACTGTGTTTTTTTAATAAAATTAGAAGTAGCTCTCTTTCTGGTCAATCAATGCTCGATCGATTCTTTTCTTTTGTACTCTTTTCGTTTTACACTTATTGAATATAAAATATATTATAAAATATAAAGTATATTATAAAATATATTATATACCAATATTCAAAATTTAACTTACAGTAAGTTCTTTAGACAAAAATTAAACAGAAATAAAAATAAACCGTCAAAAAACGAAACGTATAGATAAAGTTTTTTTAATAAAATTAGAATTAGCTCCCTTTCTGGTCAATCAATGCTCGATCGATCCTTTTCTTTTGTACTATTTTCGTTTTACACTTATTGAATATAAAATATATTAGGTACCAATATTCAAAATTTAACTTACAGTAAGTTCTTTAGATAAAAATTAAACAGAAATAAAAATAAAACCGTCAAAAAACGAAACGTATAGATAAACTAGACGCGTGACGCCAAAATCCCGGCAGTAGTATAATTTTATTTTCCATGTACAATATTTTGAGGGTCTGAATTCAACCATGGCCTAATCTTGGTAACGTAACTAAACTAACTGTAAAATAAAACTAAAAATGCGTTTATATAATAATTTAATTGTAACAAAATTAATATAAGGTTATTTACCGATGATACGATATCCCATGTTTATTTTTATCTTTGTATCGTAATTTTTGCATTCTTTTACCACGCAACTAGACATATTTGTGACAGACAAATCTGTCCTGCGCGCGCATCACGATTCGCGATTCGCGTTGGCCCTAAACTGTAATTTTAGGGCCAATGCATTGGTCCGTTTTAGTTGTTCGGTCGGCTCGGTCCTTACGCTAGTAATGTATAAGTCAATGATTTTTTATCTCTAAATAAATTATACGTGAAAGTGTCACGCTGTAACCATATTATGTTTGTAGCACA